CATAGCAGAGAGTTTGATCGGAAGAGGAGCAGCAGGGACTAACTAGAACCAGTGCCCATATGGGATGCTGGTGCCGCAGGCAGAGGATTAACGTACTGCGCCACAGCACCAACCCACATACATATTTTTGGAGGACATTTATTTAGGATTATTTTAGTTTATTTACAAATGTGTATTGTTAGATACTAAAAAGAAAAAGGAGTTATAGAGCAAGCATGTGAGTGGTTAGGAGCAGTTTCAGAACAAGTTCTAACTCATGTAAACTGAGTTAGATAATTTTTTTCTTTGTTGCCTCAGTTTATGAACTATGGTAGTTAGATTAAATTTTCTCTGATAGTCTCTGGTCTATAATCCTGTGGGGGTTTATTTGTTTTTAAGAGAAAGGAGATAGATACATATCTCCTTTTGTAATATATGAAAACCTTTATATATGTGAGTAAAATTTTTTTAAGATTTTTGTATTTATTTGAAAGGCAGATTTACTGAGGGAGCAGGACAGACACACATACACAGAGATTTGCCATCCACTGGTTTGCTCCCCAAATGACCACAATGGCCGAGGGCTAGGCCAGGACAAAGCCAGGAGCCAGGAGCTTCATATGGGTCTTGTCTTCTGTATGGGTTGCAGTGGCCCAAGGACTTGAGTCCGTTGTTCTCACAGACACAATAGCAGGAAGCTGGATCAGAAGTAGAGCAGCCAGGGCTTGAACCTGCACCCATATGGGATGCGAGTGGTGCCCACCCCTACTTAAGTGATTGCAAAATCAAATAACAGTTCATGCAGTTAGTAGTCCTGATTTATTTCTTTAGAGGAAAAACAGTTAAGTGATAGCAAGTTCTGAATAATTAAGACTCTGATACAAGTTTTCTTGGTTTCTAATTTTGTTTTTCCTGGGACATAGTTATATGTACTTCAGACTGGCCTCCAGTTTCTCTGCTAGTGATTTCTGTTTTCTCCTTGAAAACTGAGTTGAGGCTGTCAAATTACTAAGTTTAGAATTCAAACAGACGTGGGCCAGCGTTGCCGCTTGTGATGCTGGCATCCCATGTGGGTGCCAGTTCAAGTCCTAGCTGTTCCACCTTGTTTTTTTTTTTTAATTTAATTTAATTTAATTTTTTTTTTTTTTTGACAGGCAGAGTAGACAGAGAGAGAGAGAGAGACAGAGAAAAAGGTCTTCCTTTTCCGTTGGTTCACCCCACAATGGCCGCTGCGGTCGGCGCGCTACAGCGCGCTGCACAGATCCGAAGCCAGGAGCCAGGTGCTTCCTCCTGGTCTCCCATGGGGTGCAGGGCCCAAGGACCTGGGCCATCCCCCACTGCCTTCCCGGGCCACAGCAGAGAGCTGGCCTGGAAGAGGGGCAACCGAGACAGAATCCGGCGCCCCAACCGGGACCGCAGGTGGAGGATTAGCATAGTGAGCTGCGGCGCCTTCTGATCCAGTTCCCTGCTAATGACCTGGGAAAAGCAGTGGAGGTTGGGCCAAGTGCATGGGCACCTGCTACCTTCATGGGAATCCTGGAAGGCAAGCTCCTAGCTCCTGGCTTCAACCTGACTCCAACACTGGCTGTTGCAGCCATCTGGAGAGCAAATTAGCAGATAGACTCTCTCTCCCCTTCTCCCTCTCCCTCCCTCCCTCCCTCCCTCTCTCTCTCTCTCTCTCTCTCTCTCTCTCTCTGAGTTTCAAATAAATTAATCTTTTTTAAATAATTCAGATGGTTATAACCAATGGGTATATGTATGTTCAGACAAGAATGGATCTTCATGTGTAGCACCAGTTTGATATTTAGAGTTAATGCTAGCTCTTGTCATTTTCATTAACCCTCAATTCTAGCTGAGATGAGCTTTGGCTTTATTTATTAATTAACTTTACAGAGTAATGCACACAGACCTTTGCTTCTGCAATGTTGTGTGTCTCCGTGAGGGTGCCATGCAGTGACAATCCCTATCCATGGGGCTCTTGAAAATATTCCATACTTGTAACTCCCCAAGACAGGTTGTATTTCACTGATGCAATATATGGAGTACATGACTAATGCATTGATTTAAATGTAAAATTGTATCATGGACCTCTAGTAAATGTTAAGTAATCAACCTGGAAAAAAAAAAGTGTTGATTTTTTTTATTGAAACATATTCATGTATTTAGGAGGAGGGGCATATGTTATTCGAATGCAAGGGCTATCCTGTGTGCATGGGTGGCAGGAAAGTGCAGCTGCTGTGGAGAAGAGTTTGGTGGTTCCTCAGAAAATTAAACATAAGACTTAGCATGTGATCTACTGATTCCATTCCTAGGTCTATGCATACTCAAAAGAATTGCAGACACTAACTCAAGTGACTGCTTGAATGCAAATATTCTTAGCAGTATTAGTCCCAATAGCCAGCAGGCAGAAGCACCCATTCTGTCAACAGAAAAATGGATAAAATTAATTGTGGTATATACATACAAAGGGACACGATTTGGCCATAAAAAGGAAAGACATTCTGACACATCCTACCACATAGCTGAGTCGTGCAAACATGCTAAGTGAAGTAAACCAGACACAAACGGATAAATACTGCAGGATACCACTTTTAAATGATGTACCTAGAGTAGTCAGATCCACAGACAGAAAGCAGAAGTTTCTTGCAGTTGAGGATAGGTGAATGAAAAATTATTGTTTGAATGATGACAGAGTATATGGGAAGGGGCTGATGTTCAGGAAGCAGAGTGGAGATGGCCACACTACTTGCTGAACGCACTTGATGATGTCACTAAATTGTACACTTAATAGTTGACATGGAACGTCGGTATTTTATGAGAATAAAAAAAAATCGCAGAAAGAAGAGAAGTTAGAATCGCTGTAAAGCTAAAAGGTTTTAGACCCATTTCACACCTTAGTGTATTTGTGCTTGTTTCGTGGCTGCTTCATTCTGCACAGACAGCTCTCAGCCACGGCGTGGGCTTCATGGATTTGGAGTTGTGCTGGTGCGTGTGGTTACATCAGAATCCATTGGTTTTGCTACAAGTGTTTAAGGAAGAGTTGAGAACACCACACCCACTAAGGCTTTTTCCTTGATGTGAACTTGTTAAACACTTTGAGGGGTGGTGAGGGAGAGGGCGTTTAAAAGTGGGCAAACAAAACATGTTGGAGTCCCCGTCCCGACAAGGAAAGGCATGCTTTCGTGGCAAACCGAAAACCTAGGAACCAAGGCTGATGAAATGCAGGCCTTCCGGCCCTCACTCTGTTCCCAATTTCTCGTTGTGGGAATCTGTTCTAAATCCAACTGCAAGTGGAAAACCCATCTTTGGCTGAGCAGCCAGGCAGTCCGTCCTGCCAATCCCCCAAATGTGTTGCTGAAATGTTGGCCCTGCAGGGCTGGAGCTGGGGCTGTCTTCCCAAGACTGGAGCGGCTGTCAAGGTGGCTACAATGGGACGGTGACCTGCCCCTGCCCTGTATTTTAGCAGTGACCTTGAGTCCAGCCAGCTCCCGGCAGCTGCCCACTCCTCTGCTGCGCTGTTGTGACGCCGGGGGGCTAATGGGAGGGAAACTCCTCTGGTCCTGCCCTAGCAGTGTCTAGCAGGTGTCAGCCCCGGTGCCAGTTCTCCCCCCACCACTGAGCATGGGGGCCGTCCAGGTATGAGTGGGGAGGCGGTGGCTTGCGGGGGTCTGGGTCCCTGGGCAGTGGTGACTCCGTGTGACCACCAGGCTGCTGTGCAGATGGCTCCACATGGAGACCTGCTTGGCAGCTCTGCACAGAGATGCTCCAGTGACAGCTGATGGTCTTGGGAGAAAGAGGAGCCAAAGGTGTGCTTTTGTCCCAAAGGTACAAGCCCGGGTCCGCCTTCCGGTAGAACAGGGATTTCCTTGGGAAGTGAAGGTCATAGGGAATACCCAGAGAAATCCTGTCTCTTCCAGCTCTGAGAGTGGCAAGTGCATTTTGCAAACTCCTCCCCCTCCCCTTGTCCTCCTCCTGTCCTTTTTCCTTTTAAGTGGCTTCACGGTTATTTTTTAATCCGCCTTTGTCATTGGACATTTATTGACAGAAATCAAATCGCTGTGTTTCTGGGCAAAGCGCCTGCTGCAGAGAGGTGTGGTTCCCAGGAATGAGACACGCAGCCCAACAGCTGAGCCTACACTGTCCTCGCATAACCTCCCTGCCTTAAATATCGCCAATATTTAGCCTTGCCTTATAAAGTAAAAATGCACAATACCTTCCAGAGTTGCTGGAGCCCGAGTGCCCCCCGAGGCTCCCTTATGTCTCCTGTAGGTTGGAGGCAGAGCCATGCACCCCTCCCCCGCGCGGACCTGCCCTGGGAGCCGCCAAGAGGTTACTAATCAGGGAGACTGGGCCATCGATCCGATGGCGGCGACCTGGGGGATTTGTGTGCATTGTTTTTGCGAAGCCTCCTGTGATTTCGGCGCGACCAGATCCTGTGCGGCGAACTCCATGTCGCAGCTTGTGGCTGCCTGTGTCCTGTGGTGAGAGCCGAGCCACACAGGAGATCCTTTGTCTAGGAAGGACTAGGCTGAGAAGATCACTTTGGAGTTGCTAAGCTCTGCATTGCCATTGGCTGCACTCTTTGTGGGGCTGTTTTTGCAAAAGGCATGCCCAGCACGTCTACAGTGCTGGCAGGCCAGGGCTGCCTTTAAACACCATGATAATAATACCAAAAAGCAGTTTGCAGGAGTGCTCCACTGTAGCCGCTTCCTCTGCAGAAGCAAGCAAGATGGCTACCTCGTGGGCTTCGCTGTGAAGAATGCAGAGGCTAATTAAGACAGACTTTAAGGGGAGAAAAGGGTATTTCCCTGCTTCATCTTTATGCGAGGTTTTTTTTCAGTGACTTTGAGAGTATACATTTTACATAAGCTCCTTAGGTGCTGCCTAGCAAACATGGTGATGATTTTAAATGGTATAAGTAGTTTTACAGAGACATAGCCAGAAATTTGGGGGGAGTGGGAGCTTTTTTTTTTTTTTTTTGCTTAAATGGAGGTTCATTTTGCAATTTGATTTTTTTTTAGGTTATAAAAGAAAACAAGAGGCCCCAGAGGGAAAAGAAGCCCAAAGTTTTAAAGGTAATCAGCTGTTGATTAAATAATATTTAATTTTTTTCCATTTCATATAATATTTTTCTGTCACTTTGGTGAATTTGAAGTATAGTGGATGTGGATACTCCCAGATTTTCAGTAGATAAATGGATTTCCACCCAACTAAAGTGTTTTCTCTCCTGTTTTTTTTTTATGTGCTGCATAGTGTGCATATTAGCATCCTTTATTTTCAACTCCACACAAGTCTGCAGAAGGAAAAGTTTATATGCAAAGTATTGTGAATAAAATTCATTTTTCTTTGCAGCATCTGCATTTGTTGTGTTGCACCAGTGTGTAAACTTAAGCTCTTTAGGAGAATGGCACTATTTGAAGTTGACAGCTATGATCGATTGTGATTTTAATAGACCTTACATTAAATACTATTTGAAAATGTGTGATTTCTTTTTTCATCCAGAGATAAAGGGTCCTTAGAGATTTTAGTTCAACTTAAAATGTGTAAGTCATTGAAATCTTACAGCCAAATTATGAATGCTTAATCCAAAATTCTCAGTGTAATCATCTTTTAATTTGGGCATCAGGAATATATAGGAATATTCATGTTTATTTTCTTTATTTTGCCTAGTGAATATTTAGTAGTAACCTAATTCAGTTATAAGCCAGTAATCTGTTGTTGTGAGCTGTGTACAGCATTTAGAAGGGTTAATTTAAAAGCATATGGCATCACTAAAAGTTCTAGGCTAGCTTTAGTCTAGCAAATAGGTGCTTGTGTGTTTAAAATTTCAAGTGGTGGATTGCTATTATAAACATTAGCAACCTTAGACAACCTTTTAATTCTAGAAGAAATGTTAAGCAATAAAATTAATGCTCTCTATATTGTATACATTTAATTTAAAATATTTTAACTTAATCATAGCTTTTCCTGGCAAAGAAAGTTTTAGCCCACAAAAGGAGCAACATGTTGAACTGTCAATGTGGCAGAATTTTCTTGCATTTGTTTTCCCTGTCATAAAGCTTGAAAATGTTGACTTGAAGAACCAAGCCTTGCATTGCTTTCTCATTTGTCTGACCACCTTGAGCTTCCATTTCCTGTGTGTACCCAGCATTGCTATATACATGTTTCATCAACCAACAAGTATTTATTTTCTTTACCACTTAGTCAGCCTTGTGCTAGGCACTGTGAAATGAATGAAATTGCCTGGCACAAACTTTCATTGAATCTGGACAAATAGAATAACGATCATTTTCTTTCTTTCTTTCTTTCTTTCTTTCTTTCTTTCTTTCTTTCTTTCTTTCTTTCTTTTTAAGATTTATTTATTTTGAGAGAGAGAGAGAGGTCTTTCATCCATTGATTCACTCCCCAAATGTCCACATTGGCCGGAGTTGAGCCTATCTGAAGCCTGGAGCTTCTTCTATGTCTCCCATGTGGGTGGCAGGGACCCAAGGACTTGGACCATCTTCTCCTGCTATTCAGGCAGTACTTTCTCAGGCACATTAGCAGGGAGCTGGATCAGAAGTAGGGCAGCTGGAACTCAATGGGTGCCCATATGGGACACCAGCAGGTCAAGACTTCAATCCACTGAGCCTCAGTGCTGGCCCCCATTTTCTTTTTCTTCAAGATTTTTTTTTTTTTAATTTGGGCATCAGAGAAAGATAAACCAACCAGCCACCCACTGGTTCATTCTCAACAGAAGCTGGGAACTCAGTCCAGTACTCCCTGTGTGGATGGCAGGAACCAATCACTTAAGCTGTCACCTGCTGCTCCCCAGGGTCTGTATTAGCAGGAAGCCAGAGTCACCAGCCAGAGCTGAATGAAATACAGTCACTCCTAGCTGGGGTGTGGGCATCTTAACTGTAGAACTAAATTCCCATTCCTGCTTTTCTTCTTTATTGATTCATCCACCCCTTCCCCAACTATAGGAGTGTATTAGCAACAGCCTTACCTAGGTTTCCTGATTTCTCCCATATATATAGTGTATTTTATTTATTTGAAAGTCAGAGTTTCAAAGAGAATGAGAAACAGATCTTCCATCCACTAATTCACTCTCTAAATGGCTGTAATGGCCAAGGATGGACCAGGTAGAAGCAAGGTGCATGAGACTCCGTCGGGGTTTGCCCAAGTACTTTGTGTTCCTCTGCTTTCCCAGGTGCATTAACAGGACTGTATCAGGAGCAGAACAGCCAGGACTTGACAGCTGAAGCTCTGATTTGCGATGACAGTGTCACAAGCGGGGAGCTTAACCTACCCCACAACAACACTGGTCCCATAATCTCATCCTATACTAGATGTACTGGTATATCCACTTCAGGCATTTAAAAAAAAAAAAAGATTTATTATTTGAAAGAGGTACAAAGGGACAGAGAGTGAGTTATATATCTAATACCCACTGGTTCAATCTTCAGATGGCTGCACACAACCAGGACTTTGCCAGACTGAAGCTGGGAGCTAGGAATGTTGTCCCAGTCTCCCACATGGTGGCAAGGGCCCAGGCACTTTGTCCATCTTCCACTTCTTTCCCAGGCCATTATCAGGGATCTGGGTAAGAAGTGGAGCAGCTGGGACCTAAACCAGCACCCATATGGGATGCCAGCATTGCATTGCAGGCAGCGGCTTTACCCATTCCTCCACAATTCTGGTCCCCACCTCAGGCGTATTTGTCTTGAATTCTTTAGGGGAGGAATAATTCTAGTCTCACTGTTACATTGTCAAATTTAGGGAAGCAGTAGGCAAAAGGGGCCATCTTTGTATTTAGTTTAGACTATACCTGGCAGCCAAGTCCTCCCACCTTTGCTAGGAGCTAGAACTGGGCTTTGGAAGTGCTGTTTAGTCCTATGTTTATTTTGCTAGTCTGTGGGTGTCTGTCACCTGGAATACATTTCAGAAGTAAATATGATTTGGGATTCACGGCAATGGACTCTTTTAATAAGTGCCTGTGGGTAGCCGAATTTCATCTGGTATCACAAACAGCTGAATTCTTAACTCACTTTCCCTCTACAGGTGCTGATGGGTGCTCAAGGATAGGGATGTGCTTGAAAAGGAAAAATAATTCTGTTTTCTGGTGTTTGCATTTACAATTTTTTAAAATTTTGTTAATCATAATATTTCAAAGAAATGCGAATCACTCTCAAGCAAATGTAGAATACAGTGTGTAGCCAAAAAGGACGTGAAGTTAAGAAAGGGAAATCTGTGTGTTGTGGGGGAGGGTAGGAGAAGAATACACTTGGAACTTAAGGTTTAACGGGTGAAGTTCCAGCTGGATGCTACCCAGGGGACTGACAGGTGACAACTTGGTGTCTTTTATAATTCTCTGTCTTTGCACTTGGCGTTGACTAGAGATCTAGCCTACTTCCTTTGATTATTTATTTGAAAGGCAGAGTTAGAGGGAGAGGGAGGGAGGGAGGGATAGAGAGGAAGAGATAGAGAGAGATCTTCCATCTGCTGGGTCATCCCCCAAATGGCTGCAAGAACCAGGGCTGGGTAAGACTGAAGCGAGCAGCCAGGTGGTATTTCTGAGTCTCCCCTGTGGGTGCAGGGGCCCAAGCATTTGGCACATTAGCAGGGAGCTGTATCCAAATTGGGACAGCCAGGACTCATGGGATAGTGGCACTGCAGATGGAGGCTTAACCCACTGTTCTACAGCGCTGGCCCCAGCAGAGTTTCATTCAGGGATTGTTTTTAAAGGGTGTGGGCAGAGTTAAGGATAAAACTAGGAATGGAAAAGAACCACTAAAGAAGGCAGAGACCTTGGGCCGGCCCTGTGGTGTCGTGGTTATAGCCGCAGTCTGTGGTGACAGCATCCCATACGAGCACAGGTTCCAGTCCCTCCTGTTCCACTTCTGATCCAGCTCCTTACTATGTGCTGGGAAAGGAGTAGAGGATGGCCCAAGTCCTTGGGCCCCTGCACCCATGTGGGAGACCCGCTGGAAGCTCCTGGTGGATGGTTTCAGTTCGGCACAACTCTGGCTGTTGTGGCCATCTGGAGAGTGAACCAATGGATGGAAGAACCCTTCTCTCTCTCTCTCTCTCTTTCTCTCTCTCGCTGTCTTTCTGCCCATCTGTATATAACTTTTCCTTTCAAATAAATAAATAAATCTTTTAAATTAAAAAAAAAAAAAGACTGAGTCCTATTACCGCTACCAAGCCCCAACAGGAAAGAGGGTGGGAGCAGGAACCCAGGCCAACTAGTTGTAGGTAGATAAAGGGAACACAGGCTTTAGCTGTGGCCTTTGGTAGAAGGATGCTTCTGCAAGCAGTCATTGTGTGTGTTCAGTCTCCTGCTGCTTTCATTGGTTAATCTCAATGGGAAGCCCAAGGAACAGGGAACCCTCTGATGGAGTATATCCTGGCTAGCCTCCTGGGGCCAGGAAGAAGGTGTATAAGGTAGAACATGTGCCTGGAAAGGCATATAGCCCAAAGTAGCATCTGCAGTGACCACACAGCAAAAACAGTCCCAGAACTACAGTAGGGACATGATGGCATGGCTAAGTATGGGTGGTTTTTGCAAATCATCTCATGTTCAACTGCATGGACATATTTGACAGGGGACACATTTATATATTCTATAATTAGATAGTCTTGTGGCTAGCAAGGGATATTTTCTATATATTTTATATATTTGTTCACAATATGCCATCCAAATGATACAGTATTTGGATGAACTGAGTGAACAAATATGAAGAAAGGTCAGTGGATATTAAACCAGGAAACCATGCGTGGAGGTTGATTGGTGGAATAAAAGCGGAAACCCCTGCTGGGGTCCTCACTGGCCATGCTGCTCTCCTCCCTCCCTCCCCTCTTACTTCCCCTCCTTCCATTCTAATACTGACCAAGGACAATGAGCCAGGGTGCTGGAGGACTAGGACCCTATCTCACCAGAAGAGAACAGAACACTTGCAAACAGCTATGTGTGAAGGTCTTTGAAATAGGTTTTAAACTGAGAAGTGAGTCTTGAATGAATCACATTCACAGGTGATTTTGTTTGGCATGACATACTGACAGTCAAAATGTTTAGTGCCATCGCACCTATTAA